TTAGAGAAAGTTATTCCATAACTTGTTTTTGACACAGTAAAGATTTTTAAAACACGTGCTTTCTGAGAGGATGGGTAAGCATACCAGAGGGAGAAGCAGGGCCGGCAGGCAGAAGCAAAAGCGTGTTAAAGCATGGGCGCTTTCCCTGGGCCACTGCCTGCCCTGTGCACATGGTCCCTCCGCTGGAGAGTCTGTCATATTCAATCACATGTGACATGGGCACAGCAGGTCACTGTCTCCCATGGGAGCACACATAGGTCAGTTCTCAACAAGCTGCCCTTTGATAAAACAGTTCCTGAATCATTAAAAAAAAAAACCTTTCTACTGACTCAAAGCACTTCATTAGTAAACATTTCACATTAAGTACCTTTCAATCATACAATTTTTTCATTTAGAAATATGTTGAGCTGATCTTTCAAAGAAAAACAAAGTATTACTAAAACAATATAAGCTTTAGCAGCACTAGATGCCCACATTTATTCTGGAAAGGCCCAGAAATGTCCAATTATTAAAACAAGAAACTTACCCCAGAAGCCAATTTTGATCCAGAGAAAAATGTCTACAAGAGGATTAGAACATAATATTCTGAGAGATTATCATGTATGTTAATGATCATAAGTTTATTTTTTTAAAAGAATTCTGTAACAGTGGCAGTTGGTGAGGAAAAAAAGACTCTTCTCAAGCCAGTTAAAATGTTTGCAGTAATCTGAGGGGTGTCCCTCTCAAAAGTCAGCTCCCTGGCCTACTGGCAACTGCTAATCTCTAGCAGTACTTCACTCAGATGAGAACTCGACCACTTCTCCAGGGGTTAAATAAAGGATAACTTTGTCCTATTCCTTTAAAATATTCCTACTTGTAGAAATTCCGTTCTTAAAAACAAATGCGGCTATGGGAAACATGCTTGCTTGACAGTGAGAGAGATCTTGGTTCTATGACAGACTCCCCCACTACCGTGTGACCTTGGGCCAGTAGCAACTACCAAACCCTTGGTTTAGGTACCTGCAAAATGGAAATAAGAGTGCTGACACAACAGGGTCATTAGAGCGTCAAACTGAGCCAGCAACATGCAGAGTGTTCAGTACAGGGCATTAGCACTGACTATATTAGCTATTATTATTTAAACATTCAGTGCTATACAGACCTCATCTATCAAGTTCATCATTGAATCCTAGTACCTGACACAAAATGTCAATTATTTTATTTAACAAGCACTTGTAATGCACTTGCTATGTGCCAATTATAGCTCCAAGCACATCACTGATAAATTATCATGACAATCCTAATTGGTAGACATATTCTGACTCCTTTACAGATGTAGAGACTAAGGCAGAGAGATGTTAACTAACTAGTGCAAGGTCACACAGCTAGTGAGTGGTAGAGCCAGGTCTGCTGACTCAGAGCATGTTCACCCATGCTAGTGTGGGCTGGCTGCAGGGTGAGTGCCATGGCTGAACCATGCTTTCTCTCCAGCACTCACTCGTTGAGCAAGCAAATATGCTTTAAATTATGAAACACTCACTTTTGAAATGAACCACAATCCCTAGAGGCGGGGCACGAGTATGTAGATTTCTAAAAAGTTGACTTATGCATGTTTGGTTAGAGACCACTACTGTAAAACTGGACATCTCTATATGTATGTACTGAGCACTTACTATGTGTGAGGCATGACCTGGGCTGTAAGATGGGGAAGGGAAATACACGTGTAAAAATAATCGTAACTCAGCTGAATCAATGCTCTAGTAAAAGAACATGCTGTAGCACGTAGTCAAGTTCTGTGGACGCAAACAGAGCGAATACTAATACTGCCTGGAATGGGACTGCAATTTTGTAAATAGTATGTAAATTCAAAATTATGAACCCAAAACATTTCGATCTCAAATCTACCAAAGAATTTGGTTGCAAACTTAGGAGAACTGACAAAACTCCCACAAGCAAGTATAACATTAATTAGCATAAAAGCTAATACTTCCTTCCTATCAGTGGTCGCCAACCTTTAGGACTTCACGGACCACTGGCGACCGCTGTAGTGAGTTCTTCATTTGGAAAGGGAAAGGAAGCCACCTAGCTGACATCAATGGTTTAAAGAGTCACACTCAATTATATTATGATACAAAAGAAGGTGTAAGTAGTTTCTACTCATTAATGCAGGAGGAATTAGTAATTTAGAAGCTTGTTCTATTTTTAGAAAATATGCTTTTTGGTGAAATTGTGCATTAAAAATCAACATTTTTTTTTAAAAAATAGACCTAAATCCAAGTTAATGGACCTTTTTAAAAAGTTAGATTTTAGTTGAATATAAAACTTAAAAGATATGATGCAATGGGCATTAAAAAGCTAATTACACACACAATACTCCAAGTTATTGCAATGTAGAGAAGTTATGAACTTCCCCTCTTCATTTTTAAGATGAGTTTTTAAAACATGAAACAAAATATCCAAGTCCTAATGCTTGTGAGCTCTTCTAATAAATCACAATGCAGCCGTTCTGGCATGACAAAACTTATTCCAGCAACTCCTCCTGTAACACCTGCCAGCGAAGGGCAAGGCTTCAGGTTTACTGCTGGAATAAGGTCATCCCTTGTGGCTCTTGCAGCTCAAAGAACGAATTTTACATAACAGGCAAAACGAAAACGGCAACCCAAAATCTATTCGATCACAATGAACAGAATTTTAGAGTAAGATGAAACTTAAGAGGTATCTAAAGAATGTGTGGGCAGGAAATGTGTATCTGTATCTATTTAACTCACGTGGACCCCCCTATTTCAGATCCTAGCCCTTAGATAAGTCTTCCCGTTTTATTTGGGAGCGAGTGAGACAGAGTGACATACACAGATGGCCTCTAAACAGACTTCAAATCAAGCCATGTCATGATTACCGTTCAACAAACAGCACATATTCCTCTTTCTTATTAGGACAGACAAATGAAAATAAAACCCCTCAATCAGTCAAGTACTGAGCACCCACCGATTGCTTCTATGAATTACACAGAGTGGGGGAGGGCCAGCCGCTTCCCGACCTGTCGGGTCCCGCATTTTGGCTCTCGGGCACCAGCACACAGAACAGTGGCAGCAGCTCTTCACAAGGACTCACTAGATGCGAGCACTGCCATCGAGAAGCCGAGGCCTGGTCCTGCCTCGAAGGTCGCCCCCCTCCCCGCCATGAGCTCTCCTAAACTCCTAAGGGTACCTTTAAGTCCTCCCAACACAAACTTAAATTCGCAGCAACATGTGAGCGCCACAGGCCATCCTGAAACACAGGCAAAGGTGAAAGCACCAAGGACGAGCTCCACAAGGCCAGGGTCGCCACGCCGCCTAGTCTCTCCCGGTTCGCACCCGTGTGGGAAGCGGCACCAGGTGGGCCGCCCGCTGGGGGCACCGAGGGACCGCGCGGGTCCTGGCGCCTCGGGGCGCAGAGCCTCACCTGGACCTCAGGCCGAGCCCACACTCGCCCGGAAGGTACAGAAACAAAGCACACTTTCCAGAAACCACCAAGTCACCCAACTCTCACCCACTCCACCTCCCAGAAAACGAGTTCAGTGGCCCGAGGGCGGAGCAGGCCCGCGGCTGAGACCCTCGCCCCTCCCTCGTCCGCCTCTCGGCACCCGGACCCGACTCCCCAGTCGGCGACCAGCTGGCTCCGGCCGGACCCCACGTACGGACCTCGGCGTGTGCGACGACAAATGAAGACTCGTCCGTCCCCACGGACCCATTTGGGAGGGGAGAGGAGAAGTATCTCCCTGCATCTCCCTGCTGTGGTGTGTGCGCCCCCACAAAAATATTCTTTTGTTGGAGCACACCATCACTCGATGGGGAGGGAGAGGAGAAGAATTTTTTACCCTTTTCTTTCTTTTTGTGGTGTTCCTCACAAAAAGAATATCTTTCTGGGGAAGAAGAACACTCTTGAGAGAGGAGAGAGAGGAGAACAACCCCCCCCCTCACCTTCTTTAGTGTGTACTCTCACACAACACTTTCTCTGTGTGGGTCAGCAGCCACTCCAGGAGGAGG